AATTTCCACACATCCCCTCGGGAATTAATTCCCCCCAGCCAGGCTGTTGTACATCCCATGGGAAGCATAAATCCGCAATAAAACCCAAATTAATCCGATTTACACCCATTTTTCCAGCTGCTGTGTTAACCCAGGGCCGGATCCTGCTCCTGCTTGACCTTAAGTCCAAAGTGATCCCATTTTTTTAATGCCAATATTTGAGATTTACAACCCTTCAGTTTTGTTCTAACATTAAAAACTCGAATCGATTTGAATCCTACCACTTCCCAGCAAAGCAAATACTGGAATAAATTCCTTTTAATCATAGATGGGATAAATTCCATTTAATCCCTCCATTTCTGCCTGATTTTCCAAGTGCTATCAGATATTTTAGGAGTCAAAAGACCCGTTTTGCTCCCAGTTACACAACTTTTACTGGGATTAATGGCATAAAAACACATCCAGCCCAGCACGTCTCCCAGATCCCAACTCGCTGCCTCCTCCAGGCTTAATTTCCACCTTTTTTTTTTTCTCTATATAATACATATTTTTGGAGCAGCTGGAAGGAAAACAAGCCTGATCTTGGCATCCTGAAGCACTTCCCAAAGCAGCCTGAAATTCCCCCGCGCGGATCAAGCACAAATCTTTCTTTTTTTAAAGCAAAAATCCATCCCGGCATTCCAGGACGGCGATGGGAGAAGGGATCCATGGAGGAATCGCGGCATAAAATTGAGTTTATGAGCCCAAATTACCCGTTGAGTGCGAGGACGGAGCCGGATCCTCCTTTAAAGCAGCCCGAGGGAATTAAACCGATTTATTCCCGCAGCTCCTCAAAAGGCCACTACGTTTATTTATGAAAGCTTGGAATTTTTATCCAGCGGCGACCAAAAAAAAATAAAATAAATTTTAAAAAAAGTAGTTTTCGCGTTGCTTCGAGTCGAGCCAAAATAATGTTAATTTTTATCGTAATTTCCTCCTTGAAATGCAAAGGAAAGTCCTCGAAATTCAAAGGAAAACTCCTTGAAACGCAGCGGGAAACAAAAGCGCCGAGACTCGGAGTTCCCGCCGGGATAAATCCCGGCCCCGCCGCTTCTTTTCCCGGCGTTTGATCCCTCGCTTGTTCTTTCCATCGTTAATTTACGGCCCCGTTTGACACCGATGGCGGCTCCGGATCCAGAGCCGGGATGAAAACGGGAACGTCGAGGTTTCAACAGCGCAAAAAGCAACCGCAAAAAAATTGCTAAAAATAGAATTTATAAGGAAATTCGCCTTTTCCCCCGGAAAATCCCCCCATTTGCAGCGCTGGGGGGGTCGGTCCTCGGTGCCTCTGGACGTGGAAACTCCACCAATATTATATATTTATACTAATTTGGGGATTTGTGCGATGATTTGCATGTGATTCCCACATGTTCATCCGCATCTCTCTGCGATCCAGGCACAAAATTCCACGGTTTTAGTGTCCCCTGGGCTGAAAACGTGAAGTTTTGTGGGAATAGAGTGTTTGTGGACAGAATTATAATATACATTTGCATGGGATTAAATTATCGGTATGGCTATAAATAGATGTATTTATACAAATATGAACTAGTATTTCAATATAAAATTATAATTAAGCATATATTGATATATAAAAAATGTGTGTATATGGAATTATGGAATTATGGAGCCACGGAGGGGTTTAGGTTGGAAGGGACCTTAAAGCTCTTCCCATTTCGACTTTCCACTGTCCCAGGTTGCTCCAACCCGGCCTTGAATGTTTCCAGGGATAAATAGATGTTAGAAAATAATATACTATAACATAAAAATATAATGTAATTAAGATACTGCAATCCAGTATAGATAATATACCATATACAATATAGTATATTTAATAATACGTAATCTGTGCAGATGTACATAAAATATATACTGCATTATATAAAAAGATATATATAATATAAAAATACATAAAATAGTAATATACTGTATTAATGTAGTCAATAATAAAATATTAATATTTAAATTGTATCTAAACTACAGCTATAAATCTACACACATAGATTTATACATGTGAGACACGTGTGTGTCCGGGGGCACCGTGAACCCACGTGGGGGGATATTTGTGTTTGTGCTTTTGCTTTTGTGGGATTTGGAATTGGGGTCGTTCCATTAAATACCAAATCCAGCCCCAGCTCCGTGATCCCGATGGGTTTCCAGTTCCATTTCCCACTCCCTGACACAAACCAGGGTTGTGACCCACCAAAAAAAAAGAGATAAATTATATATATAAATGTATAATTTTATAGAAAGCATATATTTTATAGAAATGTATATTTTATATAAATTTTATACAGATGTATACATTTGTATATAAAAGTACATTTTATCTAAAAATAACAAACTTATAAATACATATTTGTATATAAATATATATTTTATACAAATAAACAAATCCGTACAAAAATGACTTTATTATTCTCCCCATTACTAAAATATTTATAATTTCAAGTCATTTTTCCTGCCATCAAGAAGCACATTCCTGAGCAAAATCAAACTGCAGCTTGGGCCGAAGCTCTGTAATGAGTTGGACCTTGGGAATCGGAGGATTTTCTGGGATATTTGGGATGTGCAGACGGACAAAGGCTGAGGATGAACCGGGAAGACCCTCCTGGGCATCCCCAAAACCTTCATCCTTTCAGGGACACAGGGAACGGCCTTTGTGTGCTGTCCCGGCCCCTTTTGTGTTTCACCAGGCTGAGAAGAACCAGGAATTTTTTCCCCTGGCATTGAGAGGAGCGGCAGAGCTGGAGAACATCCCCAATCCCTGGGTCGGGATTCCCAACACCGGGAATGCCGCAGGAGGGAGGGACCTTGGGAGCCCAAGTGCCACCAGGACAGTTGTCCCCTGACTGTCCCTTGCCCCTGGAGCTCACGTGGGGCTGAGCTGCCTCCCTGTTCTCCAGAGGAATCCACAGCTTTTCCTCCACAGGCTTCCAGGGACGGGATTTTTTCCCAAAAACTGTTAAAAATCATTAAAAAAATAATAATAATAAACCCCACCCTCCTGGAGGAAAAGCCCAGGGGGTGGAATTGGACCTGGATGACGATGCTGGTCCTCATCTACATTTCCCAACTCTCGGGCTGGGAGGGAGAAGGTGTCCCTAGGGAAGGAGAAGCCCATTCCCTGTGTCAGGCACTGC